CAAGTATTGCAGTTTTTTCACAGTACTTGGAATTTGGTCTACGTCGTAAACAAAAGTTGTGCTCAAGTCTTTTAACAGACTTCCAAATGATGAAATCACAATAAGGAAAAACACAAATATGTTCTTATCTTTCAATTTGAACTTGAGGATAAACCTTTTCCATTGACAGTCTTACACACAACTGTTTGGCCCCCGGCAATGTGTCTAGACAATGTCTGTTATTTGTTTCAGTTCTGAAAGATATGCACTAAATACAATGGCCATCACAAAAACTCTTCAGAAAAACAGGTTTAAAGATCTGTTTATATCTTCTACAAAAAGAAATTAGGTCTGCTTTGCATATTTCCTTTACACTTGAATAATAAGAAATTACTGGAAGGCTGCTGATCACAGCATCACAGCTAAATTGGTCCAAATATTAGCTATTTATCAGAGCACAACAAGCAGGTACATAAGAATAGGAAATGAATGCTCTAAAAACTACACACAAGATGCAGTGGCAATCAGTGCACATCTTACTTAGCCAAAACTTCGAAAACGCCATGGAAATAAAAGAAAAATAAGTAAATGGCTTGTTTTCAACAGCATCACTGGCAACACATTCTAAAGTTCACTCATACTCTGCAATCACACTTCAGTCACCTACTCCAGTACAATTTGTAAATTACTGAGCTGCAGCTATTTAATGAATTATCACTATGATAACACATGTCCTTGTAGCTGACTAAAACTACAAAGAATGAAAAAAAATCTGGATGAGGTTTTTGAGATGCTAAGTCTATTACCCTCATTATTACTGTGGCATAGATGGTATCTGTAAAGAGGCACAAATGCAAACTAGAGACTGACCCTCAAAACCAGTATGCACACTGAATACTTCCATTTAGAAAATACTGGGGTAAAAATTTAAATCTTTGCAACCAACAGAAAACAATTTAAGCCAAAATGAATGTCCCAGTTACAAATTCAAATGCATAAAATGGAAAGGAAAAGAATAATAGCAAAGAGATACAGATGTAAGGAATTTCCTGAGTAAAAGCCATGTTCCTATCAACTAAGAGAAACTTAATGAAAGAGTTATCAGTAACAAACTTTGCAGTAGTTTGAGCCACCAGCTTGATTCTGCAGCTGTTTCAATACTTAAAATTGTCACTTATGTCAAATAGATTTGCATAAGAAAATAATGGAAAAGTGGACACTAAGGTCCACAATCAATTTAAAACCTTTGAACTGAAGTATAACTTTGTAAAGGAAAAAATAATGAAAGGGTGTCTTTTCCTAAATGTGCTTATTCAGTGTAAACCAACATTTCTTTTTGAACAGTTTTTTAGTTTGGAAAATAAAGAATGATAATTTTTCTTTTAAATGTGAAGGAACATGACCAGAAAACTTACAAAAAAAATATTTATCTGCTGCAGTCATTACATGGAGTATTATGTTTCAAAATAACTGAAGAACTTTCACTGGAATTTCAGAATTCAAAGGAAGAAACAGTGTATGCTGCACTGCTCTTTTAGTCATTCTCACTCTCCTTCATATACTCAACTGTTTTCCTTAAAACACACACACACTTGAAATGAATTTTAAATTTAGTGCAGTGAATACCTTTAAAATAACCTTGTTAAATCCGCTTCTCCTGTCCATAACAGCCCAACTTATGCTACAGCTTCAAATTTTTATTCTTCATAGGAAAAGAATACTCTCACCACCATCAGTACAATGCTGACAGAGTAAGATCTTATGATACCAGAGTGTATTCTCAACAACTCCAAAGCTTCTGTAACACTGCAGACTGTTCTCACAGCTTACGTCCTGAAACCTGAACACTGGCTTACCACACAAAGCTTTGCAGTTACACTTGTAGTGTGATTACCTACTGACATCAATAAAAATTTCAGAAGAGTATTACAAATCATTGAGGTACTAGGAGTGATTAATGAGGCAAAAGTAACAGTCTTTAACTATTTCACCAAATTTTAGTACAAGTAGTATTAATTAAACATCCAGAAAGATGATGGCAGGGAAAGTGTAAGAGGTGTGAACTTTGCAAATCATTACAGAGAAGCTACTGCACACTGTACAGCTGGCCACAGACTAGAACATAATTCAAACACATCAAATTCTGCAGTTAAACATTAAGGTTTTAATACACCACCAGCCTTCAATTACTGACTGCTCTTCCACCTTTCAGCGTAATATATTAACAATTATTTCCAGTGCATCAATTTATCACGCTCTATCATGTACCATACATAATCCAGCAGGTAGCATTAAAGCCAACACAACTGGCAGACGTGATGGAAAATAAACTCCTATTTTATTGCAACAGATGAAAGATCCAGAAGTCTCACCCTCTCCAAGAAGAATTAAGAAATACATGGACAGTTTAAAAAAAAAATCTGAATTTTTAAAAATAGCTTCATCAATTTGAAGTACTCACAGCATAATTATTTCAATCATGACACAGTAGTTCCAATTCTACCTGCCTTTGTATTGTTATCACATGAGATGACATTCATACAGCTGATAATGTCAGAATACAAGAAGCTAAAAGCAGCAGGGGATAAAGATCCATGCCTGCTGCAGATCGCCTCTGTCATGATCCAGGCTGGAGCCTGAGTCAAACCATTCTGCTGTCGTCAACAAACACTACTAGAACAAAACACTGTTTCTTCTCCTGTGGCTACTCATCCACACCACCTATCACCTTCCTACTACAGACAGTCAACCTGTCGGTTTGCATAGTAGAAGTCTGAACAAGAAAGCTAAGGATTTCATCAGTACATTGCCTATCAAGAAGGATCTGCTGTTGTAAAAATAAGGCTATTGCATACAAAAATATGTTAATTTTACAACCCCAAAGCTAAGATATTACGATTTTAGACATTTCAAAATAAAGTAGACTGGGAAACTTTGATTCTGCTGCCTTCTGTGTGTGCCTTTTGGCATCACACAACCTATATATGCACACAAAATAAATATACATTTTCCCTCAGACTAATGAATCATTCAGTACTTAGGGTGAACAATGCTACAGGAAGCAGTTATGGAGAACTGATGATTTATCCACAGTTTACCAACCTTGTTTAGAGAAGGTGGAAGACATGTAGTGAACATGATAGGGAATTACAGTAAGGAGGAGTTGCTGTCATGTATTGAAACATTACTCTCTAGAAACAAGATAGAATCTGTTTCTGTCACAGGGTTCCTACATGATGAGAGTTACTTACAGAAGTTATACACCACCTTCCAACCTCCAAGTCATGCAGTTTCCCCAGAGGCTGATAGAGGTATAAAACAGCCCTGTGACTGAAGGGGCTGAAGTACTGAACACACTGGGCATGCACATGTCCTGAAATTCTTGACCAATTCAAAATTTTTCCTGGGAAGTATGGAACTTGGAGTTCTGCCAGGAGCAGAAAACATAGTTCACATTAGACAGTCTCAGCCTCCTTTGTTCTACAGAGTCTTTCAGAAGCAAACCACAGCTATCCTGCACTCCAGGTGAACTGCTGCTGAGTCCTGCTTCTCAACACCATCCTTCCTGTGGAGGCCTTGGCCAACCCTCTTACATTGGACTAGATGATCTTTTGAGGTCCCTTCCAATCCCTAACGTTCTGTGATTCTGTGTGATTCTGTGATCTGACTAGAAATGCTCCCATCAAGTGAGAAGAGAAGGCCCTGATGAAAGACAGCAGCTAGAAGAAGGGCTGCTACCACAAATAGGGAAACAAACTGAAAATATCTGCATGCTTTGGAGAAAGTTAGGAGTGACTCATTACATTGCTCAAACAGCAAACAGTCTACAGAAGGTGAAGAGATCTTAGGATACTGGTCTCAGACTACAACCAAAATATTTCAGTCAGATTATAGTTGTGTCTGCCTTTATTTCCATGGTTCTTAGCTCAAGACACTGAGAAACACTGAAGATTCACACTTGCAATTGTGATCTAACAATAGTTGAAGACTATCTAACTAAGACTATCTAGATGAAGATAAATTTAAAATTCAGTTCAAGTGTGTGTGCATTTTAAGGAAAATAGTTGAGTATATGAAGGAGAGTGAGAATGACTAAGATATCTAGATGAAAGGAGGCAGACATGCAGTTTAAAGGAAAGATAGGTGTGGTAACATCAGCTGACTCAAACCTTGTCTGCAGTAGAAGTTTTGGCACTTCATTCTGACAGTAATGACAGATAAAGAGAACCCAGATCTCTCACTGCCTTCTCTGACTACAGCAACATTGACCTTATGATGGGCTTCCACAGTAACTGCTTGAAAGAATGACCGTCTTCCTGCTGTGAAAACTACTCATTTGAATTTATTCCATGTTGGTAGTTTGTCACAAGGGGTTTTTTTGTGTGTTTTCTACCCTCTTAGCAAAGAAATAAGTATTTTTTTTCCAACTCTCATCAATACTCTATAGTCCTGCTTTCTAAAGTATCTGGTCAAATTAGTATTCAATGTGAAAAATGAAGCAAAGTAAACATCAAAACCTTTGGTTATTGTCATCAGTATTTGCTTTCACTCCCTCGTAAGAAATGTTATATTTAGTTTGAAAGACTACTGGTACAACCAGACTGTTGATTAAAAAACCCAACACTTACATAGCATGAAATTCCATAGACTCATACAGAAGAGTCTATCTGGAAATATTTAAATTCCTTCCCTAAGATAATACCTTGGATATGGTCAAGAGTTTGTTGCTTATCATACTGTCTAAAAATCCAGCATCTGCATGGCATGCCATCTTCTACAACAACCAAAATTCTGCAAGGTCCTTTAGAGTGACTGGTGTATATTTACTACGTGGTAAAATGGCATGCAAAACAACAGTAGGTCTACATCACCTTCGCAAAGTATAATCCAATCAGGCTTAGAAATTATGGACTTTCAAACTGTTGGAAAGTAGGATGGCAGGACAGCCAAAATAGTCACTAAGAACATTTCAATAATTCAAACTCTCTCACAAATACTGTTGACGTAGACATTCATTTTACCTTGAGAAGGTATGTAGGGATATTGCTGAAATCTACAGGCAACTTCAAGAGGAAGCGAGCTGAGAATTCTCCAGTCTGTGGAAAAAATGTAACACTAATGAGACTTGGTGTCTAAAACAGAACCACAAATTGAACATTCTGAGGATGAAATATAAAACAGAAAAAAGTGTAAGAGGTCATACTAAACAGAAAGGTTGAGATTTAAAACAGTATTTCTCAATAGAGTTACTGAAGAGGAAAAAATAATTTACAGATATCACAGATGCTAGTATGAAAAAACACCTTAAAAACCACAAAACATCATTGCTGGTAAGTCAACAGCAAAATGTGGTCAGAATATAACAATGTGCATGACAAAAATCAGACTATTCTTTGTTAGACCCTAAATATAGATGTATCTTGGCTGTACTAATTTCCGGAAAACAGTCCAGTGAGACCTGCAAATGGTCTGAAAGCAAAGTTAAAAACCTGAATAAAATTTATAAAAGCATATAGATAAAACAAAGACATCTTCATAAACATTGCAGGTATACGTTAAGACAATTTGTGTTGAGTAAGGTGAGAATGTATCAAAAGTATCCTCTAAATAAACATAGAGGACAGAACTGAAATAGAAGGTTTTATATAATTTGTTTTCAAAATTATGTGACTCTTAACACCTAGAGAATCGTTTACTGAAAGTATGCCAAGTGTCCCCTACACATTGCTCTTTTTTATGCATAAAGTGTATGCAAAGGAAATGGAAAGGATTTCCTTTCTGTTTCATACACTTCCTCAAAACCAGACTTGGTCCACCTGGTTATGAAGCAACGAAGTTGGCTCCTTTTGAAAAACATGCTTGCCTGATTTCCTTCATATTAATTTTTTGTCATCCCTATTTTTTAATTAGATGAAGTAGCCACACAGCAGGTATATCTGTAATGCTGAATTAGCAGCACAAAAAACATTAAACATTATCAGCTAAGTACAAAAAATCAGGGTATCTTGAGATAAGGTAGCACAACTTTATTCCGTTTTAACACTGCTCTAATCTTTGCATGCATACTTGGTTATGTGATGACATACAACTTTTTAAAAACACTACTTCATTTTAACAAATCAAAGCTATGTGAATATGCAGCATTTTTTCTCCCACAGTAACAAGTATGTACTACTTTGCTATTCCCTGAACGTAGTTATCTGTACCTTACTTTCATTTTACTATTTAATTTTACTATGTTAAATGTTTTGCATAGCCAAACAAAACGAGAAGAAAAAAACTTTTAAGAAGAAATCTATGGTATACAAATTTTAACAAACTGCACATCCATCTATGGTGAACATGTATACTGCAATCCTCATCAAAGGGTGAATGTATACACTACAGTACAGTATACACTATCATCTTTATTGTGCATACAGCTATACCTTGTGGTAAGCAAAACCCTGCAATATGTCTGAAATAATGGAAGCATCCTTTCTGTAAAATGCAGCAGTGACCCATGGAAGAGAGGTAGAGGATTTTGACTGAGATCATGGACCATGTCCAGACAGCTTCTCAAAGTCTCTAAGGGTGGAGACCCCACAATCTGTCTGGGCAACCTGTACCAGTGCTCACACACCCTCAATACTCAAGGGCTTATAACACAGATGTCAGAGTGGCCTTTTGGGCCACCTCCTTAGTAGATGTCGTCACAAGAACTCCACATAGCTGTCATTGGGAAAGCTTATCAAAGGCTACCAGAACTCTTCAAGAGGAATGCATTTAAAGTCTTTTAACATCTGTATTGATACTGAAAATTTGCCATATGGCTTTGCAAAATAATCTGCCTCCCCTCTCAATTAGCTGTGCTAACCCACAAATTGCTTTGAGCTCAGCATAAGAGAAAATATGAAGGTTGTCACTGGCCACGTACAACTGGACCACAAGCCTACATAGTGATGGACCACACTGATTGCCTTGCATATTGATTCACAAAGAAACTGGCTAAAAAAATACTTACAGAAATGAACTTGCAGATGCACAAACCTCTCTAAGAATATACTGGAGGTCAAAGCCAATGGAAACTAGCTTTCCAAAATGAAGGGTAAGCTGCTAAGCAGAGCAGCTGAATATAAATGACTGTTTGCTAAGTGTGTTTTCCTGTGGTACTGACATGAAATAAAATTGAGAAGGAAAAAAATACAGAACTAGATTCTTTCAATTCATTTTATGCCTAAAGTAAGCAAAGACTCAATCCCAAGCAACTAGACACATACAGACAAAGATGTTGTATTAGGTAGATGTACAATAAGCAATGCTAATATCAGTGCCAATTTGTTTCCTGGTCTAGGGCATGATCTAGAGATTACTTATGCTACCTTCCACTCACTAAACAAGAAAAAACAAGATCTTGTATGCAACGAAAATCTTTCCATTGGTACATCACCAGTTATATCATTTGCGAAAAGGGTTTGTGTGATGTTAGGCTGTAATCCACCCTGCTGCCAGCTAGCTCAGAATTGCCCTTAAAATTTGTCCCTGGTAGTCACACAATAGATGCAAAGCAATCACACATAGGAACACTATGCAACAAAAAGTGAGCATGTATTACAACAAAGCCAGGCTCTGAAATCTTTCCTGATGACACTACTCACGAGGACAGATGCCAACTTTCTGATGCTGTATTACTTCTGTATGCAGAAAAATCACTGACTTGTTGTGCATGTATGACACAAAGACTGCTTTGATGACAGTCAGGGCACTGACTTTTTATCCAGAGTGAAGTGTATATTACAGACAGTGCTTCTTGTCTGGACTTAACTTCCAAAACGATACCATATAACATTTGCCATAGAATCTGGAAATTATTTCTCGTAAGATACCAAGTCTGATGAACTGGAATGGCCACTGAAGAAATGAATGGCCTCTGATCAAAACATCAGCTGCTTTAAGATGTGGAAATATATAAGAACTTGCAGTCTAGCTGTTTCATGTCATTCAATCAAGATTATTTTACAATGTATTACTTCCAAAAGTGCTCTGGACAGCAAGGAGCAGTCCCTGTCCATGGTGCTTGCCTACGCAACCCCAACCAGCTGGCCACAGTCATCAGGCCGAGTCAGATGAATTTCTGGCCACACCACTGAGAGATTTGATACATCAGATAATGGGCATCCATATCAGCTATTAAGCTAGGTAATGACTTGGGTATTTTTCACAGATCTTGGAGATAATTTCAGGAAATTTGAGATACTGGAACAAAGACATGAAAGCAAATTTCCATTTTGGGACACAGCACTGAATTCAGGCCTCTACAAACTCATGGGTTTTGTTTTTTTATTGACTCATGCACTTAATATGATTGCTTTCATAACAACGTGCAAGGTTCATTCACAGATTATTATTTCAGAAGTCTGCTCAGCCACTATTGATTCCTGAGAGACAGCAACATGAATTTCAGTGACTTTGAGACAGAGGAGACAAAATGCAGTCTACCTCTTGCTTTTCAGATAAACACTGCTATCAGTATAAACACTGATCATCAAGACCAACAAGACAGTTGCAATGGACAGGAAGGAGAAAAAAAAAATCTCCAAATGAAAACCTCAGTCTCCTCGACAGAGAATGTAGACTTTGAAAACAAAGTACAGATTACAAATAGCTCTGCAATGATTAAAAGGATTTCTCTCAAAATGTATTTATTTATTTTACTGGAAGTTTTAACTAAGACAGCATTTCAAATACAAAAAAAAGTTCTTTATTCCGTCACCAAAGACTGAGGAAAGACTCAAAAGGCTTGAGTAGATATGGCTTTCCCATAAAAAAGGAAAAAAATCCCCTAGTTTTCTACAATCTTGAGTAGAATTTTGGCAGCTGCCAAAAATTATGATAAAATCTAGAGTACAGTTCAGAAAGCCTTCTGCATTTCAATAAACCAGTCTTATGATATTTACAGATGTGACAAGTTTGTGATGTCAGCTACAGAGAATAACATTTAAGAACAAATTAATTTCATTGAAGCACTATGATCCATAAACATAAAAAGTGAGATCTGAAATTCTCTGATAAAATTTTACTTGGCTTAAAATAAAAAAAGTCTAGATGACTTGTCTAAGAAAAGAAAAACAGATGAATATAAGTACTGGGAGTTGTAAACATCTTTGCATCACATGTAATTTAAAGATGATTAAAGTGACATAAAGCTAAATTCTAGGCCCTTGTAACAGGAATGCTGAATTTTTTTTTATTTTCTGACTGCATCTATTTCAGAAGATAATGCTTCTGAAGGCCAGTATATCTTAAGAGTATGCTGCTGAAAGCAAGAGGGTGACACTTTCAGCATAAACACAGGTACTTCCTGATATATCTTACTCCAAGCTTCCCATGATAAATATATGACAAGTGGAAAAAAATGATTTTTGCTAAGCTTACTCTGTGGCAGAGATCAGTTAAAAATAAAGAAATCAAATCACACACTAACCAAAATGTCTACATTGCCAATAGCCTCGTTTTAGAAGGCTGAGAGGGTATATATACAGTGTTTCTACACAGCATGACTTCAGGAAAACAGATAAGCCAGTTTAATGTCTGTTTGTCACAGAAAGACATGGCCCTCAAAGCCACTGCTCTAGCCCATCTCACCTCCTTCTGCAGAAAATCAGTCTTTTTCTTTTCTTTTTTTTTTTTCTCTTCTCTAGTTTAGGTTCCTGAAGCAACTCATCTCAGCTTAGACAAGTGCCAGGGAGATACAGGCAGCCACAGCTACCAATTAAACCAACTTGATTGTAATGTGGAACCACACATCCTAACACACCCTGTGATCCTACCCCTAAGTGGGCTGATTAGCCTGGGAAGGGTGTCAAATCAGCGCTGTTTTTCTGCCTCTGAAGTCTTCAAGGCTAACTCAAATTTCCACATAACATTGTAATGTGCCCTGTAAATACTGTACAGAGTTTTCAGTTTTCAAAGTTTTCATCTATAAACCAGATGAACTAACAGCGGATTGAAAAACAGTTACTCACCTGGAAATCTGGTTCAACTGAGGTAGTGGAATGACAGCAAAGTACAAAATAGGGAGTACAGAAACTGAGCTGGAGTCAAATAGAAGTTTTCTCCATTTGAAACATAAAGCATGGAGATCCACAGAAACAATACAAGTTTTCCAAGGTAAGAGCTGTATTTATTTAAATGAAAGGATCACTAAAAGCATTTTAGCAGAAATATTCTTAATGGCTTACCCAGTTGTTCTTTTTGCCAGCATAAATTTCCATGTTTTCTCCATACTGGGGCTCTTCAAGTAAAGTCTGATATTCAAACATGAGACGAGAGCTTTCACGTAATCGGCTGCACTGAAATTGGTGATACTGCTGCACAAGCTCCTTCACAACAAGCAGGAGACATTCAGGGTTTGAAGGATTCCAAGAAGCTAAATTCTGTTGAATTAGAAAAGAATAGAGACCAAAATTGTTTACAGCAACAGAAAGACAAGCAGTCCCCCTTCCATACTGATATCAGAGGCACGTGGAAGTTTTGCGATAAAGCTAAACCATAATATTAAATGCAAAGTTTGTATCATGCTTTGAAAGAAAACCAGGTCAAACAGCAAAAGCAAGTCTTAATGTCAAGTTAGCATCCATATGGTGACCTATCTGAAAACTGGTAATAGGGTTACTAACAGCCATAGATAGGACCAAAACACTATTTCATTCTTCCCTAAAATCAGACTGTTGCATAGGATCACTTGAAAAGTTTGAATTAAAATAAAAATTAAAACTGATACGAAACATACAGGGATCAGGTAAGTACAAGCCTGCACAGTATCTGAATCAAAAAGCAGTCACTGAAGAGAATATGCCAAATTAACATCAACTACGGAAACTACTCTGCTCCAGTACTCAAATAGTGGATATAGTATTGACAGTGACAGACCAAACGGGTTCTCTTCTGTTGCCTCAGCCTTGTCCTTTAACTTAACTGACTCTTCACTGGAGTTACCTTAATCATTCCCTTAACACAAATGCCATCCATACATGAGTCTCTTCAACATGCCTGGCAGAAGTTTTTATTACAAGTTGACTGTACATCCAAGAAACACAGCTAACAGGAATAAAAATGTTAATGCAATGAAGATAGCTGTGTCAGTAGCACAGTAGCAATGATACCTCTCAGTTTAACTACTCTGACATTGGCTTAGACCAGTTTTCCATGCACAGTATGTTTTATTCAGAAAGGTTTTCTGTGTTACAAACCATGCCTAACAAGATTAATGCTGCATGTCTACATCTAGTTGACCTAGAATGGATCTACATTAATGGCGAATGAGGACTCGCCCTTGTACTCCATGCTGATAGGACATGAGATAGTTTTGATGCAAAAACCCACTTAGGTCCCCAACAGATCTTCCTGATACAAGTGCAGGGCGTGCTAGCATAGTCATGTGACTTTTGGTCAGCTTTCAGTATAAGTAAAATTATTCTGTATTTCTGTATATCACAGACATATGACAACAAACTAGCTGCAACAGGATTTTAAATTGCATGGATTGTACAGTTAATATTAAGATCCTTAGAACTGGTAAAGATGTCTGTATTTTATGGTTAAGTGAAGATATAATATAGCAGCTTCAAATAAAATTACTTATCAGTATCTAAACTCAAAGTGGATACTTTTGTCCTGGATGTTGCAGACATTTAAACAAATTATATGCATAATTTACATACTTCCACAAGGATAACAAAATTGGCCCTTTTTTACCTCTTCAGTGGAAAAACAGCTTTGATTTGCGTTATTTTCTACAATGAAAAGACAGAAAATATTTCTGTGCTTTGAAGTAGCTATCTTAAGACTGCCTTGTATTCATACACAAAAAACCCCATGTTTCTTAACCTAGGTTAAGTAAATTAATGAAGCTGGATAAAAGATATGCTCCCTAAAATATACAAGCTAGTCATATTTTGTGTAACACCAAAACTAACAGAAGCAAACAGGTTGCACAGAGAATTTATTGAGTCTCTGCCCCTGGAGATATGCAAAACCCAACTGGACAAGGTCTTGGACAGTCTCCACTGTCTGCCTCTGCCCCAGCAGGGGGGCTGGACTAGATGATTGCTGAAGGCTCTTTCCAACCTCAGCTATTTCTTGATTCTATGAAGAGGTTTACAAAAAGCTCACACTGAAACAGAGGATCTTATCAAGGCAAGATTCCATAGTTCTGGCCTGAAAAGAAATTAAAGAGTTGTGTACAAATTTTATCTTCCGATACTCTGGAAAGGCAGATAGAAAGCCTAATCAGTTATTCACGAGGCACCATACCTTCAGTTCTACAATGAAATCTACTTGTAGCCTAATCTCTAACTATGTGGTTATTAATTTTTATTATCACTGATGACTTCATGATATAACCCTTTGGAATGGCTTTGTACAGACTTCAGTATATGTGTATGATGGTTTAATACTTCAAGATTTCTCTTT